CTATAACCCTAGCACTTTCGAATGGTGGACCTTTCTTCATCAGGGACAAGTATTACCAGTCTACTCCTGATGAATAAAGGTCCACCTTTCAAAAATGCTCAAGCTATATGGTTTTGTGTTAAATTGATTTTTCTAGCCTACCTATTTTCGTAACATCATGAACAGATTTCAAATATTTACACAAATTTTACATGGTGCATTGGAAATATCTTTTTTTATGGATTTGTTTAGAACGATATAATAGATTTAAGTTAGACTGTTTTAACTGCAGTGTATTAATCTATTATGTAAACCTGCATTTATCTTTACATAGTCTAGTTATATTAATGTAAATGCTGTGTTGTAATAATAGCCATTGACGTATTTTGTACACTTGAAACCTGATACTTTCAGGATGTTGTAACAGCCTTTACTTTTTTGAGCTCTTAGCATGGTCATGGCTATAACTGAAGATAGAATTTCACATTATTTCATAATGAGATGACATTACTTTTGTCAAGTTGAGTTGAATGGCTGTACAGATTACAGCATATATTTAAGTGTGTGTGTGTGTGTGTTCTGGAAGGAAGATTTTTGGTATCTAAACAAGTGGCCTTAGGCTAGTAAGATGACAGTCTGACCATAATATATGTTCCTAAATGTGATTGTATACAGTTAGAAACGTACATTAGTTTTCACAGTGCGTAATGTTTATGATGACATTTAAACCTTCATAAGTGTTTGATACAAAGGGACAACAAATTAGTAGTTTGCGAATTTGTCTATTTTTAAAATATATAAAATTTGGGAATTTCACTTTATGGCAGTACAACTAATTGATCATGTACTAAGAAGATGTCACATTGTATTGTTGACCCTGTAAATTTAGCTAGTTATACTGATTTGTCCATATTTAATTTATTTTGATCATTGGTAGCTTCATTTCGTGCCCACAAGAAAATCAAGTAAATCATGTATGTTATTTATCATGACTATCTCACATCACAAAAGAGAATCAAGTAGATCATGTATGTTATTTATCATGACTATCTCACATCACAAAAGAGAATCAAGTAGATCATGTATGTTATTTATCATGACTATCTCGCATCACAAAAGAGAATCAAGTAGATCATGTATGTTATTTATCATGACTTATCTCAGCATCACAAAAGAGAATCAAGTAAATCATGTATGTTATTAACCTGATTACTTCACAGTTTTGTTTACGAAATGATGCTCCGTATGCTTATTTTGCAAATGTTGAAAATAATAACGTATGTATTATGTGGATAAGAGCTTTTTACTCACGAGCCATATTCAAAATAATAATACCAGTTCATAATTAGAACGTGACATAAACACAATAAAACTAGTTTCATTCTTGGTGACATTTGTGATACAAGAGTAGGATTAAAATGTCGATTAATTCCCAGCCCATTTTATGATACCAAAGAAATAAAAATATAGAGATTGGATAACTTTTTCTTCAATACTACTGGTGTTTTAGGTGTGTGTTTAACAATGTGTATATAAAGATAAAAATCGAGAGGTAGGCGTATTTTATCATCCATATACCTTTTACATTTTAAATGTTAAAAAATCATTTTTATATCGTTGATTTTGTTAGATTTACTTACGAAACTTCAAGAATGTCAAATGACGTGACATATTGAAGAACATTTCCACATTTAATAAGTTGGGCACATGCTTTCCCCGTTACATCTTTGTTGTAATTGAAAAAGTTGAAAGAACTTGTTACGTTACAGAAAAGACCTTGTTGTTTTTGGAGTTTGGCTTGTAATAAG